CGTGCAACAATATCCAATCATATGACCTCTTTGTTCCAGTGCCAGTGTACCTGATGATGACAAACCTTGTCGAAACGTTGTACATTTGCTGTTATGTTAAACTTATATTAAAGTTTTTCTTCATTACCCATTCAAGCCGTCTCCAGCCATTATTAGTCTCAAAGTGGGTTCCTCGTCATCGAATTTATAGGAGTTAGTAAAGACTCTTGGTGTATTTGAACGAGTGGTATAAGAAATAGGGGAATTGGTATCTTATAGGAGTTAGTAAAGACTCTTGATGTATTTGAACGAGTGGTATAAGAAATAGGGGATTTGCTATCTTATACGAGTTAGTAAAGACTCTTGATGTATTTGAACGAGTGGTATAAGAAATAGGGGATTTGCTATCTTATAGGAGTTAGTAAAGACTCTTGGTGTATTTGAGCGAGTGGTATAAGAAATAGGAGATTTGCTATCTTATAGGAGTTAGTAAAGACCCTTGGTGTATTTGAGCGAGTGGTATAAGAAATAGGAGATTTGCTATCTTATACGAGTTAGTAAAGACTCTTGGTGTATTTGAGCGACTGGTATAAGAAATAGGGGATTTGCTATCTTATAGGAGTTAGTAAAGACTCTTGGTGTATTTGAGCGAGTGGTATAAGAAATAGGAGATTTGCTATCTTATAGGAGTTAGTAAAGACTTTCCATCACAGTACGATAAAAACAAAAAAAGTGTTCGGATTTATGATTCCTTTAGGCTTTTTATGGAATAGAAACCTTAAACTTTACAAATTGTCCATTAAATTTATTGATGTCATTTATGTGTTACGAAATTATTGCACTATAGTGCTACAGCCTGCATCGGGATAAAGAGTTAAGTCACAAAGTAAGTTCACAGCTACTACGAATCACAGAAACTGGAATTGGGCTAAATTCTATCTTCTTCTCTGACATACTAGTGAACTTACCTGATTATACACTTACGAACTTTTGGTTTACTTAAATTTAGTCATGCAAATGTACTGAACATACGGTGGAGGGTTTGTGGAGAGATTATAAATAATGTAGGCCTAACATTGAACTCATCATTCTTGGCAAGACTTAAATAATTTTGCTTAACGTGTTTAATGCGCATTTAAGATTAGCATTTAATCAGAAATAGTTGCCCCTCAATGGCATAGCTATATGTCTACGGACCTACAACGCTAGAAACCGTGTTTCGATACCTGTGGTGGGCAAAGCACTGATAGACCTTTGTGTAGCTTTGTGCTTAACTACAAACAAGCAAACAACCAGAAACAGTTTCGCCTACCATTAGAGTTCAGTCAGTGTAACCATCCATTAAATTATTCAATCATCTTTTCAGTCATTGATCAATCCACCCATATAATCATTCACTTTATCATCTATCCATCTATATACCTTCATTCTTAATTTATTGACGTATTGAAAAATGAACCCATCCATTCATTCGTGTAGATCACGTAAAATGAGAATTGAATGTACTATAATACTAAATGTATTGTCTTGAAGACCTGTTAAAAATACCTTACAGGTGATATACGACCGCGACAGCGAACACATGGCACATACGTACAATAAATGGGAGAGAAGCTCGACTGCTGAAGCGGTACCTGTGAAATCAAGTCTGATGGATGTGTACGGTTTTAAAGATAGTAAGTAATTTCATGTTTCTCTATAGCACACTATTTCTGAAACTATTTTATTTGCACTTCTTATAGAGACAATCTAAAATATGTAATATCCCATGGTTGTAAGTGCTGCTTTCAAGCCTGATTGAAAATAAAATAGGCTGTTAACCTAAGCATGCAACAAGTCAACCTGAAAATTACGAACATAAATAGATAAGGTTTTACATGAAATATGCTTTAATCAACATGCAGCGATATGCACAAGAGTAGTATTTTGAGAATCGTGGAATTATGGACTAAAAACGCAGATTCTGAAAAGTGTTTTTTTTTATCTTTTTTTAAGAGTTCTAATATTCTATTGATAAGTTATACTGTGCAGAGCTCGAATTATATCTCTACTTATTTCACAGTGATAATTAAACGACATCTGCCTAAAATTAAGCTAACGTAACTGTTGTAAAGATATCAGAGTGCGTTAGCACACTCTATGTAGGGATGGCACGACGACCGTATTAAAGCAATATAAATTCCACCTGGATTTTCTCCTCTACAGGTCGACCCCCCCCCCCCAGTGGCACAGCGGTATGTCTGCGGACTTACAACGCTAAAAACCGGGTTTCGATACCCGTGGTGGGCAGAGCACAGATAACTAATTGTGCAGCTTTGTGCTTAATTCCAAATAAACAAACTACAGGTCATCAGAAACTTTCTTTAACAGTTCAAGCAGTAACTATAATTTTATCATAATGTGATAGAGCAAAATAGTCTTCGCGATCTTTCACTATTTATTTTATTATTATTCCATGAAAAATTTAAAAATAATTAAAAAAACATAATTCTAGTGTAAACGATGTTATCGCCCTTTGATGTTAGTTTCTTTTT